CTCTAACCTTCTCCTGGTCCATCCTAATCTCTCCCCTGGAGATGATGTACCCGAGGAAGGATGTCATGTGGGCGTGAAACTCGCACTTCTCGGCCTTCACGAACAGGCGATTCTCCAACAATCGCTGCAGAACCTGCCGGACATGCTGGACGTGGTCGGAAGGTTCCTTCGAAAAGATCAGAATGTCATCCAGGTAAACAAACACAAAGAGACCGATCATATCTCTCAGGACGTCGTTCACCATACTCTGGAATACCGCTGGGGCATTGGTCAGTCCAAACGGCATCACCTGATACTCGAAGTGACCCATCGGTGTATTGAAACCCGTCAACCACTCGTCCCCCTCTCTGATCCGGACCATGTGATACGCATTGCGTAGGTCTAGCTTGGTGAACACCGTAGCACCCTGTAAGGAGTCGAAGGCAGAGCTCATCAAGGGCAGGGGATACTTGTTCTTGACCGTGATGTCATTCAACCCCCGATAATCAATACACGGTCGAAGAGAGCCATCCTTCTTACCCACAAAGAAGAATCCTGCCCCCAGGGGTGATGACGAGGGACGAACGAGACCAGCAGCTAGGGACTCCTTGATGTAGGTCTCCAAAGCCTCACGTTCAGGTCGGGAGATACTGTATAACCTTCCCTTGGGGTAGACGGCTCCAGGGAACAGGTTGATGGCACAATCATATGGTCGGTGGGGAGGGAGTGACAGAGCCTTCTGCTTACTGAACACTTCCCCCAAATCGTGATATGTCTCGGGAACCAGGGACAAATCTGGGGGTTTAGCCTCAATCACCTGACTGGGAACCGAATGGGGACAGGCAGTCTTGAGACAGTTAGCATGACAATCAAGGCTCCAACTCGTTACCTTGCCCGTCACCCAATCGAACGTGGGATTGTGTTCCTTCAGCCAGGGGTATCCAAGGACCAGAGGAACATGGGAAGACGGCAGAATGAAGAATGAAATCATCTCCGAATGATTCCCCGACAACAGCATCTTAACCGGTTCAGTCCTCATTGTGATACGTGCCAGACTACTGCCGTTCAGAGTGGTCGCTTCAATGGCTTCCGGCAATTGCTCCTTGGAAAGCCCCAGCTGTTCCACCAACTCGGCATCAAGAAAGCTTCCATCGGCACCTGAATCGATAAAAGCGTTAATCGCTAAGCTCTGATTCCTGTTCATAAGGGTAGCCGGGAAACGGGGTCTGACAGAGGTATTGAGAGGTCGAAACTGGCTCGCTAAAAGTCCTCCCAACTTTAGCGAGCCGCGCAGTTTGACGACCGCCGGGAACAGGTGGCGAGGTAATGTCCCGAACCACCACAGTAGAGGCAACAGTTAGTCCTACGTCTGAGTTGGCGTTCCTCCTTGGTTAACCCGTGCCGCCCTACTTGCATGGGTTCAGAATCGGGAGACAGGACCTCCCCACTAATCCTGTGTGGTGGACGATGATCGACGTATTCTGGTCCAATCCCCGACCCGACTGGAACCTGAGAAGCTGATCGATTGGACGGAATCCATTGCTTCTCCCTCCTTCGCTCTCGGACTCGATTATCCACCCGAATAGACAAGGCTACCAAGCTGTCCAGGTCACTAGGCTCCGGATAGGAGATCAACTCATCCTTGAGCTGCTCCGACAGACCCTGGTAAAAGGCCGCTTGCAGAGACTCCTCATTCCACCCACTCTCCACAGCCAACGTCTTGAACTCGATCACGAAGTCGGCCACGCTGCGAGTTCCTTGGCGAAGCGAAAACAGGCGCCTAGCTGCGTCCCTCCCTCGGACGGAATGGTCGAAGAGCTTCCTCATCTCGGCCGTGAACCCCTGGTATGTAGCCATGCAGGGGTCCTGTCGTTCCCAAACGGCTGAAGCCCACTCCAGCGCTCGACCACGCAGCAACTCAATCACAAAGGCTATCCTAGCCTTGTCTGTGGCATAAGAGTAGGGCTGTAGATCGAACACTAACCCACACTGCATAAGGAAAGAACGGCATCTTCCCAGCTCCCCCTCATATTTATCCGGCGTCGGAACCTTGGGCTCACGGAAGGACACAGCTCCAGAAGCGGCAGGTGAGATGGGTGAAACCGGTAGTGGATCCTCCACCGGAAACTTGCGCTGGTTCTGGACCTCCGTCAGACCGGTAGAAAGGTTCCGAACTGACAACGCGATCTCCTGTAGTACCGTGCTATGATGGCCCAACATCTTCTCCTGATGGGTAATGGCATGGCGAACAGAGTCCAGGTCCGCTGGGTTCATTACTGGCCGGATCGTTCTGTCACGGTTTACTAAGCCAGAACCCAGAAGCAGACCAGGACAAGGTAAGTTGAAACAAAGGTGAGTGTTTATTTAATAGATCCACGAGTGAGGCTGAATAATCCAGGGAACAGAGCGGGTGGCGTGGATGGGTTGATGAGGGTGCAGTGGTAGGTCCAGTACTGGCTCGGCAGCCGCCGACCATCAGGCAGAGGTTGGGTGAAGGTTCCGGATGAGTGACTGCAGATGGAACAAAACGGAGGTAAGTACAAAACAAGCAAACAAGGTGCAAAACAACAAAACTAACGCTATATGCTCTAAGGCTGATCCACCGATAAACATACTGTTCATGGCTAACGATCCGGCAGGGAATGGATGTTAGGACAGAGCCTAAGAAGGGTGATGATCAGGACCAGGTGTACAGATTGCTGATGGGATGCAGGTGCGGAAATCAAGAGAGCTCCCGCCTAGCAACGTTGCCCGGCAACCAGGCAGGGAGCGTTCCAGAACCCTCGGGAAACTGGAGATCCCGAGCAGAAAAACTAGTACACAGACAGGAACCGACTCAGACTGCAGGGATCGTTACAATAATCAAGTAACCGACAATTATGGACAATAACCCTGAACCAAAAAATATATATCGACATCATTGTCTTAATATATGCATTTTCGGAGAAGGGGGATTCAACTTCATATACAAGTAGATATAGTTTACCCAATTGCAGTTTTTTATTTTTACAGGATGTGGGTAAGCACGTTTGGAAGGAAAAGCTTCATTTCCAAAAGTTGCAAGCAGTCAAAACCATTCGTTTTTGAGACAAGCTGTGTTGTATGCATTAGGTATGATGTCACATTTTCAAAGATGCATTATGATGCATTAGGCCTACAAACAAAACAAAAAAATTAAACAAAAATTACCGTTACCCAAAATGCCATAATGTCACAGCCCTACCTAAGACTTTAGAAAACGTAATTTTGGATATAGGCCTATGCTTCGAGACATCGTTTTGTTGTCCCTTCCTTTTCTTAGTCCTTGTTTATAGCCCTTGTTAGAGCCAGGGTCACTCGGGCAGAATAGGAGACGTGCTGGTTTCTTATTGAATGGTTTGGCTATCGCCATTGAGCATATTGTATCGTCATGTTTAGCATGTGGATGGATTGGGGAGGGTTCCGAGGCGAGAGCCTTGCTCAGTTTCCGGAGCGCGACAGACAAAGCTACAATCAGTGATAGATATATGGTCCTTCTCTCTAAACAGCCTGATTCACAGCCTGGCCACCAAGCCCCCTTAAATTAGGCCTACTTTATTGTTGTTGTGTTATTATTCGTTGGGGTAGTTTGGGACATTGGGAAAGAAGGGCACACAAAGAGTGTTCAGTCGGTGACCCTTTAGGCTACAATAAGCAAATTAATGTCCAAAGATTTAATTAGTTATTATGTGCCATTATTATTATTATTATTATTATTATTATCAATACTGTATTATCATCCTATTCTGTCTCATGGTGGGGGGTTGTCCTGTATTTCAACTCACTGAGGGATGATTACTGTTCCCCAGACTGACTGATTGGCGAGACCCTTGCTGTGAACTTCCTCAAATAAATCACCGTGCGCACTTCACTACAGTAATATAAACTTGACCCGCAGAGCGCTAGTGATGCCTCCCTAGGGACCAAGACTGAAGGCTCTTGAAAGCATTCTCGTGCCTATAGAACATGGAGGAGTGGGAAGCATATTGCTCTATTTACAACAAACCTAAATCAAGTGTTTGTTGTATGTATTTTTCACTTTTATTACAACAAGATAACTTTCCTATAAACAAAATAATAAAGAATGAGTCAATATTGTAGATGACTTCAGACATTCTTATTCAATGAGACTTTGTCTACATAGAAATCTAGAACAGTAGTCCTACACTATCCAAAAACAGGATTATATTGAGTTGTAACTTTATAACGACATAAGAGTTCAATCGAACCGTTGGCTTACAAATAGGCTACACACGTATGAATGTTCAGGTAGGAATGGTAGGTATTTGAAGCTGAAGTTAATATGGCCAAAAATAAATAAAGTGCTAAATAAAAATAGACCATTCTGTGATAGAGGACCAACATAGATTGAAACACGTCGCCTGAGCTATTCAAACTATGTTCATTTGTTTCTGTTAAATCACTTAGGTCTGAACTCTAGACGCAGTTGTATAAATACAGAACAGGCTGCACACACAGACACACATTCCTCCCTGGCCTACTGTAGGCTAAAGCCCTGAAGATTTCACTTTCTTTCACTAGGTGTTCTGACACATTTTACATGGAATTAGGTTAGCGGTATAGGCTCTAGGACGTTCACCTAACCCCACCCACTCCTTTCTTTCTCACCCCTCCCTGCCCGTGCCTGCTCCAAGTGTCAGGGAAAGTATAAAGTGGGAAGGGACCCGCACGGACGGGACATACGCTTCTGGGCTGGGTGCAGTCATCTCCTCAGAAAACCTCCAACATCTTTGGTCACTTTCTCTGCTTTTCTCTTTCGCATAACTTGGGAGCCTTTATTTCTGGAATAGGAATAACTTAAAGACCATCAACGAATAGGCTATCTGGTGACTTGAATGCTAACCTATTCATGATCATTTAGGGAAGGTTTATTACTGGAGTGACAACTTACCTACACGTGAAAGCTTCTAAAAACGAGGTTTTCAAGAACAAAAAGGGAAAAGAGAAACCGGAGCGAGTTTTGGATGCTGCCCCTCTCCGGGATGCAGACTCGCGGCGCGCTGAGTTTCTTGTTGTGCATGATGAGCTGCGCGTGGCTGCACTCAGGACTGGCCTCACGCCTGAAGTCGCCCATTCTGCCCATCCAGTCCGAGAGGGAGCCTTTACCATCCAAGGGCATGTCAGGTGAGCCAATATGCCTCTTCTACTTCAGTCAACGTCACTTATTTTCAGGGTGAATATCAGAATTCAATTAATGACCTATAATGACCCCTGCTGCGTTTTGAATTCTGGCAGGGGCATCTCAGCTATATAGGCTAGCCTAGTGCTCGTTTGCTAATCTGCCGAATTTAAGTTTGAATGTATAGTCTGATATGTCTATAGCTTTTTAAGACCGTCATTAGATGACTGCTTAGGCTACTACAGGCACACCGTATTCCTAGCCTATCGTTTTGTCTATCAAAGTGTCTGACTGCACAGCATCAGACCTCTTCTCCTTATAATCGACCCAATTTTGTTTTTTTGCTTTCGTGCATCTTCCTCAAACTGCCCACTGTTATGGTTACATCATGAACAAACTTGCAGAAAACGTATTAGTCATAACCAGTGAGAATGCCATCTGGTCCACGTGCAGGGCTTTAAACTGCTTGTTTTTAAAAGGGTAGGCCTACTGATCTCATGAGAGTGAGAAGTCAAGGCGTTAGAGCAGTGTATTAACAACTGCCACTAATAACGTTTATCCAATCCTGGAAACTGTAATCAATCGACTTTCCATTACTGCAGATCTTTAGTGGCCTTCTCTGGCTGTGCCAAGCAGTGATTTATATTGCAGTGAGTTTTGCGGGCAAGCTTGGTGCTCCATCTAACTCTAACGCGACTGGACTGTTTAAAGTGTAGTCACTTTATGAAAGAATAATGAGAACCAGGTTGTTAGCAGCTACGGCAACCGCACAATATCAAATAAACAGTAGTGAACTTGGCACCGGGGAGCCTCACCTCCAGGCTGCGGTAGTGGGCCTGAGGTGCTAAGGTGACTGCGGTGTACAGCGACTCTTGAAACGAGGGAGGAATGCACCCATATGGAGCTAGGCAGGGGAGGGTTGTGGCACAAACACTTGTTGCTGGGGCAATTTTTATGCTATATTTTTTATAATGCAATAATTTTATTAATACCACTTTTCCAATCAATTTGAAAAACTCGAAACCAAACACATCAATTCGTTTCCATTACATATCCCCTGGTAGGCTACCAAAAGCGCATTCCTTTTATTTATCTTTCCAAATGGCTTCATGTTTGTTGTGTGAATGGTATTTTTTATATTAATTTGAGGGCCCCCTGCACCGTTTAAATGAAACAGGATGCGCCGGTGAGCTCTGGAACACATGAGGCATACAGTCAATCCACCCAACATGTCCCAGCCGCAGAATGGATTATCTGTCAAACATCCACAGTCTGGCTGGACAGAACAATATTTTTGTTGTTCTGTCTGACGCCAATGTGGGAATATGCAGTCTTTCACTTCGCAGTGAACTGTCCAGTACACATCCCATTGTCAAGTGCATAGGCCTGGCTATCCCATTACTCACCAGTTTTACATTTAGATGTGGACTGTACCACCTGCTAGTGTATTGTTGTCTAAATGTGTTCTTCTGGTCTGATTGCAGGATGTTCATTCGGAGGAAGATTCTATTCGCTGGAGGACACTTGGCACCCTGACCTCGGGGAGCCGTTTGGGGTCATGCACTGTGTCCAATGTTACTGCGAGACAGTAAGTAACACCCTTCACAACAACAAGCCTAGTAGAGTACATGTCAATATTGGATAGTGGACCCATTATGTAGGCCTAGGCAGTGGTGTAAAGTACTTACAAAAAAATACTTTAAAGTATCTGTACTTTACTATTTATATTTTTGACTACTTTTACTTTTACTTCACTACATTCCTTAAAAAATATTGTACTTTTTACTCCATACATTTTCCTTGACACCCAAAAGTACTCATGACATTTTGAATGCTTAGCTGGACAGGAAAAAGGTCCAAATCATGCACTTATCAACAGGTCATCCCTACTGCCTTTGATCTGGTGGACTCATTAAACACACATGCTTCATTTGTAAATTATGTCTAAATGTTGCAGTGTGTCCCTGGCTATCTGTAAATTTAAAAAACAAGAATTTGTTTTTAAATTTTTTTAATTATTTTGAAATGATTCATGCTCATTTAGGGAAGGTTTATTACTGGAGTGACAACTTACCTACGATTTTGAAATGATTTATACTTTTACTTTTTATACTTAAGTATATTTTAAACCAAATACTTTTGGACTTTTACTTAAGTATAATTTTACTGGGTGACTTTCACTTTTTCTGGAGTCATTTTCTATTAAGGTATCTTTACTTTTACTCAAGTATGACAATTGGGTACTTTTTCCACCACTGGGCCTAGGCCTATCAATGGACAGAAATTGGATGTAAAAATAATTAACTAATTAATTATTAATTAGTCAATTACCAAAATAATCTCCTGGTCTTAGTGCCCACAAAATGACCCCATTTAACAAATATAATCAGGCCTGTGTGATACAGTGTTGAGGTCAGTGTGGATGAAGAGTTGTTGTTTTCTATCTATTCTTTTCAGCAAAGGGGTCGTAAGGGTAAGGTGTTGGGAAAGGTGAGCTGTAAGAACGTCAAGCAGGACTGTCCTGAGCCTAGCTGTGATGACCCAGTGCTGCTACCTGGACAATGCTGCAAGACCTGCCCCAAAGGTAACCCCTACAAGCCTACTAACTGTCTCTATCACTATATAGACTTGCCCCAAAGGTAACCTCTACAAGCCTACTAACTGTCTCTATCACTATATAGACTTGCCCCAAAGGTAACCTCTACAAGCCTACTAACAACCTATTCTGTCCCATCATGTCTCCTGTTACCACTCTCTCTCTCTCTCTCTCTCTCTCTCTCTCTCTCTCTCTCTCTCTCTCTCTCTCTCTCTCTCTCTCTCTCTCTCTCTCTCTCTCTCTCTCTCTCTCTCTCCATCACTACATACACTATATATACAAAAGTATGTGGACACCCCTTCTAGGTCAGTTAGTTTCATTATGTTGTTCTCTAGAGAGGCTGATTGGTAATCAGTAGCAGTTCTGGGCTAGGTTGTCTCTCCTACTTGACTGTGTCAAATACGCTCATTCTCTAACCATCGGGAACCAAAGGCAATTCAGACCGATTTAGCCTAGTTCCCACTGTTACTCACCACCTTTTATATAGCATACACACTCCCTCCCCCTCTCTCTTTTTCTCTCTCTCTCCTTCCCTCTTTCTCACTCCCTCATTCACTCAGGCTCACAATCAAACTCACACACACACGCGTGCACACACACCACACACACACACACCTGCGCAAACGTTCACTCACACACATGTTGGGTCTTATTTTCTCCATAGTTATTCAGCAGTGTGTTTTGGTAATGGAAAGTCAAGGTAAAGCCCTGGGCTTCTCTGAGGCACGGCCCCCCAGCACTGAGACAACTTTGAGTGTGTTTGTGTTCATGTGGGAAAATGTTGAGAGTGTGTGTGTCATAGTGGTGATTTTGCGAAAAGCTTGGGAGTGTGTTGTGGTTGTGTCTTTAGGAAAAGTATGAGTGTGTTTGTCTAAATGTTAAAAAGCTTTGAGTGTGTTTGTCTAAGTGGTGGAAAACGGTGTGTGCGTGCGTGTCTATCTGCACGTTTGTGTGTGTATATTCACTGGTGCACCTGAGGATACAGTATAGTAGAATGCAGGGAGGTGAGACTGACACTACACAGAAGCCCTAGAGGGTGCCCTATGGAGGGAGAGAGAGAGAGGACTGGAGGAATAAGGCCATGAAAGAGAGAGAAAGGAGGATAATAAAAGAGGTAGAGGAAAGAGCCAGAGAGAGAGAGAGAAAGAGAGGATATGAGGCGGACACAGAGAAGTAAAGCAGACAGTCTAGGAGTAAAGTGGATGGCCTTGAAGAAATAAGTCTGGACTCTTTGATGATGATGTGTCTGTCTCGTAGTGTGTATGTGTTTTCTCAGTATGCTTTTCAGTGTGTCTGTACTTCAGTGTGTGTGAGTCGTCTGTCAGATTGTGTGTTTGTGTGTGAGGCACTGAAATGTGCTCATGACATCAGGACACACAGTGGTGTGGAAGAGCAGGTCATTGTTGGGATTGCACGCGAGTGTCACTGCCCGCCCCCCTCCGCTCCTCGGACAAAGAAACAAACCTTGGTACCGTGGCACCCAGACGAGCCAAGAGTGCTCCAATGAGGGATTGGAGGAGGCACCTGGAGAGAGAGATACAGTGGAAGGGAGAGACAGCTAGACAGAGAGGGTGGATAGAGTGAAATAAGAGAGGGAGAGAGACAGAGATAATTAGGAAGGACTGAAAGAACTCTTGTCTGAAATGTTGGAATAGCATTTTAGAATTATTCCTCTCCTCTCTTTCAACCTTTCACTCTGTAACTCTCACTCTTTCTAGCTGTTTCACTCATTCAATATTTGTTGTGATTCTCCTTACTTCATGTTAAAGTAATGCCAACCTGTAGGTGTTGTGTAAATATCCCCTGGGTGTTGTGTTGTGCTTGTCCAGGTGAGGTGGAGGCAGTGTTTGATGGCTTCGAGTACTTCCAGGAGAAGGAGAAAGAGGATGATCTGCACAAGTCCTACAATGACCGCTCATACCTCAGCTCTGAGGACATTTCCCCCGGGGAGAGCCGCACTGGTGAGCATGCACACTCAGCCACACGAACCCACGCATACAAACACACACAAATGGACATACATCATTGACATTTAGCAGACGCTCTTATCCAGAGCAACTTACAGGAGCAATCAGGGTTAAGTGCCTTGCTCAACGGCACATTGGCAGATTTGGTCACCTAGTCTGCTCAGGGATTCTAACCAGCGACCTTTCGGTTACTGGCCCAATGCTCTTAACCGCTAGGCTACCTGCCATGGAAACACACACACATATTAATACATGTAGTACATGTATTTACAGTACATGGATATACAGTACATGGATATGCAGTACATGGATATACAGTACATCGATATACAGTACATGGATGTACATTATTCATATAAGGACACTTACTCTCACTGCCTCCATAACAAGAAAATCATTCCTCCATTCAGTCATTCTGATTTACATCTTTACTTTACTGTGTGTGTGTGTGTCCAGACTTTGTAGCCGTGTTGACGGGATTGACAGACTCCTGGTTACCCAGCTCCAGTGGTGTGGCCCGGGCACGCTTCTCTCTCACTAGAACCAGCCTGACCTTCTCCATCACCTACCAGAGGTAACACACACACTGCCAGAAAAACAAACGATAAGTGTGCAATAATCATTAGTAATAACTAGTCTCTAAAATTCTATCTTTCCGTCTCTCCCTTACTCCTGTTCTCACTCTCCCTCCCTCTCTCCTCTCCTAGGATCGGGCGACCAAGCAGGGTTGTCTTCCTTGATTCAGATGGAAAAACTGTGTTTGAGTACAAGAACCCTAAGGGAGACTCAGACATGGTAAGAGACTGGAACGCTTTCTGTTCCTAGGTAGACATTTCCACTATTTATGTTTTTGTTGTGTGTCTATCTGTGTGTGTGTGTGTGAATGTGAGAAAGACAGGGAGAGAAAGAGAAAGTGTTTGTCTGTGAATGTGTGTGAGTGTTTGTGTACACTAGAGAGAAAGATTGAGTACCTCCACAATAAACGCTCTCTCTCCGTGACTGTCCGGTCAAACTCTCACTGGCCCCGACATAATTCACCCTGCAATAATAAACACACACGCACACATGCACACCCACTCACAGCGTTGTCACAGCATTGTCTTATCGTTCTCAGAACATTGCTTGGGTAATCAAGTCTTGATTACTGTAAATAACGCATGGGGCCTTTCTCACAAACATACTTTCACAGAGAAAAAACCACACTCATGATTGCACTCTCTTACACACTCACACACACATGCATGGCCAACTTACAAACATTTAGCTCAGTGCAATAACCAGTTGATTTTATTGGGTCAAATGAAATGGTGCAACTGTTGGACTGAGAGGGACAAGGAACTGCCACAGTCACCTAACTTTACACAGAGTAAACACAGGAACTGTCACCTAAATTTACACAAAGTAAACACAGGAACTGTCACAGTCACCTAACTTTACACAGAGTAAACACAGGAACTGGCGCAGTCACCCAACTTTACACAGAGGAAAACAGAAACTGCCACAGTCACCAACCTACCAGAGTAACACAGGAACTGCCACAGTCACCTAACTTTATACAGGTAACACAACTGCCACAGTCACTAACTTTACACATGTGAACACAGGACTGGCGCAGTCACAGTCACAACTACACTAACTTCACACAGAGTAACACCACAGAACTGGCGCACAGTCACAACAGAACTTTACACAGAGTAGAAACACAGAAACTGCCACAGTCACCTAACCTTACACGAGTAAACACAGGAACTGCCACAGTCACCTAACTTTATACACAGAGTAAACACAGGAACTGCCACAGCCCACACTAACTTTCACACATAGTGTAAACACAGGAACTGGCCAGCAGTCACCGAACTTAACACACAGAGTAAACACAGGGAACTGCCACAGTCACCTACTTCAACACACAGAGTAAACACAGGAACTGCCACATCACCTAACTTTACACAGAGTAAACACAGAGAACTGCCACAGTCACCTAACGTTACACAGAGTAAACACAGCAACTGCCACAGTCACCTAACTTTACACATAAACAACAGAACTCCACAGTCACCTAACTTTAACAAAAAACCGGAACTGCCACAGCCCCCTAATTTAAGAAAATAAGGAACTGCCACAATCACCAATTTTACCAGATAAAACAAAAAATGACAGCACCTAATTTACCATAGTAAAAAAGGAATCCCAAAGTCACCAACTTTCCCAAAGGGAAACACGGGAACTACCACAATCCCCTAATTACACGGAAAAACCGGAACTGTCCAGTCACCAATTTTTATAAAGAGTTAAACAGGAATGCCCAGTCCCCAATTTACACAGAGTAAACCAGGAATGCCACAGTCCCCAACTTTACACATAGAAACCCACGGAACTGGGCAGTCACCGAATTTAACACAGAGTAAACCAGGAGCGCCACAGTCACCCTAACCCCCCAGGTAAAACCAAGGAACAAAGTCCCAAAATTTCCCCCAAAAAAAGTAAACACAGGAAACTGCCAGCCCCAATTTTCCGAGTAAACACAGGCGGGCATTCGAAAATTCATCAAGAAAAAAACAGGAAAAGGGCACAGTCACCATACCTTTGACACAGAGGTAAACACATGGGAAAAAGTGACCCACAGTCACCTAACTTTAAACATCACGATAAACACAGGACCTGCACAAAGTCACCTAACTTTACACAGTAGGAAACACATGGAAACTGGCCACAGTCATCCGCAACTTTCATACAGATTAAACACAGGAAACTGCCACAGTTCACCTAAACTTTCCACAAGAGGAACACAGGGAACTGCCACAGTCACCTAACGTTTACACAATAGGTAATCACAGGAACTGCCACAGTCACCTACTTTACACAAGAGAAAAACACAGGAACTGACCACAGTCACCTAACTTTTACACATAGGTAAACACAGAAACTGCCAACATCCACCTAAACTTTACACAGGAGGAACACAGGGAAACGGATCTCGTCCAGTCAACCTGACCTTTACCCCAGAGTAAATCAACAGGAACAGTCAGAGTCACCTAACTTTACACATAGTAAACATAGGAACTGACGCAGTCACCGAATTTAACACAGAGTAAACACAGTAACTGCCACAGTCACCTAACTTTACACAGAGGAAACACAGGAACTGTCATAGTCACCTAACTTTTTACAGAGTAAACACAGGAACTGTCACAGTCACCTAACTTTACACATAGTAAACACAGGAACTGTCACCTAAATTTACACAAAGTAAACACAGGAACTGTCACAGTCACCTAACTTTACACATAGTAAACACAGGAACTGGCGCAGTCACCGAACTTAATACAGAGTAAACACAGGAACTGCCACAGTCACCTAACTTTACACAGAAGAAACACAGAAACTGCCACAGTCACCTAACCTTACACAGAGTAAACACAGGAACTGCCACAGTCACCTAACTTTACACAGAGGAAACACAGGAACTGCCACAGTCACCTAACCCTCTACAGAGTAAACACAGGAACTGCCACTGTCACCTAGCTTTAAACAGAGTAAACACAGGAACTGCCACAGTTACCTAACTTTATACAGAGTAAACACAGGAACTGTCACAGTCACCTAACTTTACACAGAGTAAACACAGGAACTGGTGCAGTCACCGAACTTAATACAGAGTAAACACAGGAACTGCCACATTCACCTAACTTTACACAGACTAAACACAGAAACTGCCACAGTAACCTAACTTCACACAGAGTAAACACAGAAACTGCCAAAGTCACCTAACTTTACACAGAGTAAACACAGGAACTGCCACAGTCACCTAACTTTACACAGAAGAAACACAGAAACTGCCACAGTCACCTAACCTTACATAGAGTAAACACAGGAACTGCCACAGTCACCTAACTTTACACAGAGGAAACACAGAAACTGCCACTGTCACCTAACTTTACACAGAGGAAACACAGGAAACTGCCACAGTCACCTAACCCTATTCAGAGTAAACACAGGAACTGCCACTATCACCTAACTTTACACAGAGGAAACACAGGAACTGCCACAGTCACCTAACTTTAGACATAGTAAGCACAGGAATTGCCACAGTCACATAACTTTACACAGAGGAAACACAGGATCTGTCACTGTCACCTAACTTTACACTAAGTAATCACAGGAACTTCCACAGTCACCTAACTTTACACATAGTAAACACAGGAACTGTCACAGTCACCTAACTTTACACATAGTAAACACAGGAACTGGTGCAGTCACCGAACTTAATACAGAGTAAACACAGGAACTGCCAGAGTCACCTAACTTTACACAGAGTAAACACAGAAACTGCCACAGTAACCAAACCTAATACAGAGTAACCACAGTCACTGCCACAGTCACCTAACTTTACACAGAGGAAACACAGGAACTGCCACAGTCACCTAACCTTACAGAGAGTAAACACAGGAACTGCCACAGTCCCCTAACCTTACACAGAGGAAACACAGGAACTGTCACAGTCACCTAACTTAACACAGAGTAAACACAGGAACTGCCACAGTCACCTAACTTTACACAGAGTAAACACAGGAACTGTCGCAGTCACTGAACTTACACAGAGTAAACACAGGAACTGCCACAGTCACCTAATTTTACACATAGTAAACACAGGAACTGGCGCAGTCACCAAACTTAACACAGAGTAAACACAGGAACTGCCACAGTCACCTAACTTAACACAGAGTAAACACAGGAACTGCCACATTCACCTAACCTTACACAGAGTAAACACAGGAACTGTCACAGTCACTGAACTTACACAGAGTAAACACAGAAACTGCCACAGTAACCAAACTTAATACAGAGTAACCACAGTCACTGCCACAGTCACCTAACTTTACACAGAGGAAACACAGGAACTGCCACAGTCACCTAACCTTACAGAGAGTAAACACAGGAACTGCCACAGTCACCTAACCTTACACAGAGGAAACACAGGAACTGTCACAGTCACCTAACTTAACACAGAGTAAACACAGGAACTGCCACAGTCACCTAACTTTACACAGAGTAAACATAGGAACTGTTGCAGTCACTGAACTTACACAGAGTAAACACAGGAACTGGCACAGTCACCTAACTTTACACATAGTAAACACAGGAACTTGCGCAGTCACCAAACTTAACACAGAGTAAACACAGGAACTGCCACAGTCACCTAACTTAACACAGAGTAAACACAGGAACTGCCACATTCACCTAACCTTACACAGAGTAAACACAGGAACTAGCGCAGTCACCGAACTTAATACAGAGTAAACACAGGAACTGCCACAGTCACCTAACTTTACACAGACTAAACACAGAAACTGCCACAGTAACCTAACTTTACACAGAGTAAACACAGAAACTACCAAAGTCACCTAACTTTACACAGAGGAAACACAGGAACTGCCACAGTCACCTAACTTTACACAGACTAAACACAGAAACTGCCACAGTAACCTAACTTTACACAGAGTAAACAACGAACTACCAAAGTCACCTAATTTTACCCAGGGGAAACACAGAACTCCACTTTCACCTAATTTTACACAGAGAAACCAGGAAAAACTGCCACGTCACCAAACCCCTATCAGAGAAAACACAGGAATGCCACATCACCTAATTTTACACAGGGGAAAACAGGAATGCCACAGCCCCAACTTTTTAAAAACCACAAAAAAGAAAACACGGGACTGCACGTCACCAACTTACACTAAGTAACCGGGAAAATCCCAGTCCTAATTTACCAAGAAAAACACAGGAACGCACAGTCCCCAACTTTACAAAAAAAGGAAGGT